TTATTATTATTATTATTATTATTTTACAATTTTCAGGTACGATATTTAACAAAAATATTTCTGGAGCAAAGGGTACGGAACATAAAAAAAACTTTTTTTTGTAAAATTGCATGAATTTGTGTTTTTTGTTTTTGTTTTTTTGCTTTATCACATCATTTTCCCTCTTTTATGTTTGTTATGTCTTTAAAAGAGATGAAAAGGAAAGGGGAAAAAAAGAGAAACTTTTGGATACAGAGTAAGAGCGATGGGAAACGTGTCCGCAAGTAATTTACAGCGTTGCACGAAACGCCCGTGTCAGCTCTGTCTAACTTGCTCTCGTTCCCAGAGCAGGGTGGCAATTAACCTGAAGCAGGAGAAGTACATCATTAGGCGTGTCCAGACATTATTGCCAAGCACCTCTTTCTTTTTGCGCTCTGATGTGGGTTAGAAGAACAAAAAGGGGATTTGGATCCACCTTTGGGTCAGCCCTGTTCCTGCATGCCAGGGGAGTCACCCACAACCAAGACTGGCAAAACAGTCAAAATTTTGATGCTTTCTGGAAAAGAGAAACAACTGTCGGAATCATTCAACAGGGAGACACCACCCTGAGGAACTTGTATCTTCTGGTGAGGCAAGGGAAGGGTAATGAATGCTAAATGGATCTTCCATGGTCAGAGGCAGTGCCCCTCAGAATAACAAATGCTGGGAACTCGCTGCAGGGGAGGGTCACACCCTCGATGCAGGCTTACCATGAGGACCTTTGGGAAAGTAGGGTGAGGAGCCAGATAGAATTTTGTGGTGGAACAGGCTTATATTCACAGGCTGGGTTCTAGGCACAGAGTTGGCAGGTCCCTCTTGACAACTGGTGGAGGTCGGGGGACTAACCTGGAGAACCAGGGAGGTCCAGCCTGTCTACATCACTGCCCATGTGACCCGGAAGTGACATCATCACTTCCGGGACATCAGGGGGTGACACTCTGGTATTTGGGCAAAAACTCTATGGTAAACTCGGCTTCTACCATAGAGTCTTTGCCTAAATACCAGAGTGTGTCCCCCCCGATGTCCCAGAAATGATAATGATGCTGGATCTCCTTTTTCTGGGTGAATTCCCCCATGTTGGCCAGCTGATTGGCATCAGGGAGGTGGGGCCTGGGAGTGGGGGACCCCTGCCTTCGCCAGGGGATCTGGCAACCCGATCTAGGCACAATCCCACAAACATGCCTATCTAGGCACAATCCCACAACCCCCGACATGATGGCATCATTTCCAAGTCAAATTTACCATAGAGTTTTTGCCCAAATACCAGAGTGTCTGCCTGACATGATGACGTCACTTCCAGGCCACATGGACAGTGATGTAGACAATACTGTTGCCAGTCGCCTGAGTTTTGGGGCTGCAGCCCACTACTGGCCCAGCTGGCTGGTGGGATAATCACCACCTCCAAACAGCCATGCTCCAGAGCGACATCCCCAATGTGATGACATCACCCAGAAGTGACGCCATCACGTCAGGGACGTCGCATCACATGGGACACTCTGGTTTGAGGGCAAAACTCCACAGTAAATTTGGTCTAAAGCCATAGCATTTCGCCCTCAAACCAGAGCGTCCCGTGCAGTGTTGCTGACGTGATGTCATTGTCTGGGTGCTGTCATTGTATTGGGGAATGTCCCGGAAAACCTACCAAATCCCCCGCCAGCACGGCGAGGGGACCTGTCAACCCTAGTTTGGTGTAGTGCTTAAATGTGTGAAAACTCTAATCCGGAAGATCCGGGTTTGATTCCCCACTCCTCCACACACAGCTGCTGGATGACCTTGGGCAAGCCACAGTTCTGTCAGAGCTTTTCTCTCAAGGGCAGTCCTCGGGAGAGCTCTCTCAGCCCCACCGACCTCCCAGGGTGTCTGTTGTGGGAGAGAAAGGGAAAGGAGTTTGTAAGTCGCTCTGAGATGCCAAGTGAAGGGCGGGGTATAAATCCAACCTCCTCCTCCCACTCCTCCTCCTCCTTTTCTTCTTCTTCTTCTTCTTCTTCTTCTTCTTCTTCTTCTTCTTCTTCTTCTTCTTCTTCTTCTTCTTCTTCTTCTTCTTCTTCTTCTTCTTCTTCTTCTTCCGTTGCTGTATCGGCTGAGCCTTCCTGCTGCTCTTGGTAACTCCCCCCATCCTCAGCCATTTTCCAGGCTTGGATCTGACAACCCTAGTGGCAACCTGGGCGGCGATCTTCTTTATTCTGTCACCCAAACCCTGGAACTCAGACCAGCACCACTGGCTGCCTGGACTGAGTGCTTCAACGTGTCAGTGCTTTGTTTGAGCTATGCTGCAATTCCGTTGATAAAGTTGTGTGGCCTTGCTAAACTGAAGGCATGTGTCGCATGTTCACAGAATCATAGAATTTTAGAGTTGGAAGGGACCTTGCAGGTCATCTAGTCCAACCCCCTGCACTCTGCAGGAGCAGAGCCGAAAGATAACCCTACAACATACCCGAAAGATGGTTCTCCAGCCTCCGCTTGAAAGCGTCCAGCGAAGGAGCACCCAACACCTCCCAAGGCAGACTGTTCCACTGCTCAACCACTCTTACGACTCTCTTGTAATTTCCACCAATTAGATCTAGTCTTGCAATCCGGAGCAAGAGAGAATAGATCTGCTCCATCTTCTACTTGACAGCCCTTCAGATACTTGAAGACGGCAATCATGTCCCCTCTAAGCCTTCTCTTTCCCAGGCTAAACAGACCCAACTCTTTTGGCCTTTCCTCATAAGACTTGGATTCCAACCCTCTCACCATCCTGGTTCTTCTTGGGTGTAAGGGCGATTGCGGGGACAATCCTGATTGCCTTGAAAGTGGGTTGAAGCGTGGGCGGAGGGACTGAGGGATGACTCTGACCGTGTGACAGTGACTTGCCCAAATCTTTATGCCGCTGCAAATGCTTTTCAGAGTTCAGTGGCAGATTGGCATTATGAAAATGTCTCACTCTGACTCTTAAAGCCGTCGAACAATGCATCCTCGGACTACATTCCTTCAAAAAGCATGCCCCTCCCAAACCAGTTCATGTGACAATTTGGCTCTGCTCCGTCTTCTACATGACAGCCCTTCAAATACTCGAAGACTGCAATCCTGTCCCCTCTAAGCCTTCTCTTTCCCAGGCTAAACAGACCCAACTCTTTCAGCCTTTCTTCCTAAGACTTGGATTCCAACCCTCTCACCCTCCTGGTGGCCCTCTTCTGGACACGCTCGAGCTTGTCAACGTCCTTCCTAAAATGTGGTGCCCCAAACTGGACACAGGACTCCGGGTGAGGTCTGACTATAGCAGAAGAGAGCGGAACGACCACCTCCCTTGATAGCTGAATCAAAGTGTCAACCCAGTGTGCTGCAGTGGTGAAAAGGGCAAACTCTATGTTCAGGATTATTAGAGAAGGGATTAGAGTTGGGGGGAAACAGTCGATGTTATAACACCCCTGTATAGATCTATGGTGGTGCCTCATTTGGAATACATTTCTGGTCACTGTATCTCAAAAAAAGAAGAAGAAGAAGGGAAGGAGGATTGGATGGAGGCCCCAGCTAGCAGGGATTTTAAATGACAAACTATACAAATACTATATATATTAAAAGGCTTATGCAACCAGCCCATTAGAAGAAGAAGAAGAAATTGGATTTATACCCTGCCCTTCACTACCCAAATGCGTCTCAGAGCAATTTACAAACTCCTTTCCCTCCCCCCACCCCACAACGGACACCCTGTGAAATACATGTGGCTGAGAGAGTTCTTCACAGAAACCACTCTTTTTCAAGGACAGCTCTTATCAGAACTATGGCTTGCCCAAGGTCATGCAGCCAGGATCAAGTGGAGGAGTGGGGAATCAAACCCGGTTCTCCCAGATTAGAGTCCACACACTTAACCACTACACCAAACTGGCAACGAACATTAGAGAACATATTTACAGAACCAATGCGAAGAGAAAATGAGAAAACACAAAGCTTTTTAAATCAGTTTCATACAGATTTATTGATAATGCTTTCATTGTTTGATCTTAGATGATACTTTCATTGTTTAATCTTTGAGGCAAGAAGCAAAGGGAAAGAAAAAGAGGAAAAGGAATGCCACTGACTGAGAAATAACAATTAAAAACCCACTGGGCAAGCCCTTCGGGAGACCCTTTGAGTGGTGGTCCAAATATTTACCGTATTTTTTGGACCATAAGACGCACTTTTTCTTCTAAAAAAAGTGAGGGGAAAAGTGTGTGCGTCTTATGGACTGAATAATGAGCCCCAGGGTTCAGAATATTTTTTTCCCTGTTTTCCTCCTCTAAAAACTAGGTGCGTCTTATGGTCAGGTGCATCTTATGGTCCGAAAAATACGGTAATTTTGCAACCCCGGCCTGAAAGTATTAAAATAACATAGTGCAAAATATAAACATGAGGCGAACACCTAGGAGACAACACCAAGAGAACATGAAGTTGGGAGATTGACCTCGTGAGCCTTCATGGGTATGCTTTCATCTCTTGGTGGCCAACTCTTCCAAGGAAGCTAGCACGACTTGTGTTGTTGGGTGCCATGATAGTAGTGGTGCTGATGATGTCTGCTGCCTTGGTTGGATGAGCATTGGGATGGATTTCCCCATGATCCTTGGCACGGACTACCAGCTGATCCTTGATGTGCTGGAGGTGGGCATGGATTGGCGCATCCTGATGCTGGGCCTGGCTTGGAGCATCCCGAAGATTGGCATGGGTTGGACCATCCTGGTGCAGGGCCTGGGTGGGACCATCCAGGTGCAGGGCCTGGCTTGGAGCATCCCGAAGACGGGCATGGGTTAGAGCATCCTGGCGCTGGGCCTGGTTTGGAGCATCCCGAAGGCTGACAGGGTTTGGTGTAGGAGGAGGATGAGCAGGCTGAAGACTGCTTGAATTGCTGAGACTGCTGGTAAGACATTTTCTTTGGCTTTGGGGGAATCCTGGGAGGAAACAAGACAAACAAAACAGATGGATGGATGGATATAGTTGGGCAGGCGGATAGCCAGATAGATGATAGATAGTCAATCAGACAGACAGAGGAAGAAGAGGAGGAGGAGGAGGAGGAGATTGGATTTATACCCCACTCTTCACATGGAGTCTCAGAGCAGTTTACAAACTCCTTTCCCTTCCCCTCCCCACAACAGTCACCCTATGAGGTAGGTGGGGCTGAGAGAGCTCTTTCAAGAACTGCTCTTTCAAGAACAGCTCTGACAGAACTATGACTTGCCCAAGATAATCCAGCAGCTGCAAGTGGAGGAGTGGGGAATCAAACCCGGTTCTCCCAGATTAGAGCCTGCACACTTAACCATGACACCAAAGCAAATACTGCTTTACACAGGGAGTGATTAAAATGTGGAAATCACTGCCAGAAGATGTAGTGATTGCCTCAAGCATAGGCCTCTTTAAAAGGGGATTAGATAGATTCATGAAGAATAGGTCTATCTGTGGCTACTAGCCATGGTGACTGAGGGGAACCTCCAAATTCAGAGTCAGTCAACCTCTGAATCCCAGTGCCAGGAGGCAACATCAGGGGATGGCCTCGGCCTCTGTGCCCTGTTGTTGGTCCTCCAGAGGAACTAGTTGGCCCCTGTGTGAGACAGGATGCTGGACTAGATGGACCCCTGGTCTGATCTAGCAGGGCTCGTTAGATGTTCTTCTCAGGGAAAGGCCTTGGCCTCTATGCCCTGTTGATGGCCCTCCAGAGGAACTAGTTGGCCCCTGTGTGAGACAGGATGCTGGAGTAGATGGACCCCAGGTCTGATCTAGCAGGGCTCTGTTGTGAGAAAATGTGTGTGTGTGTCACTGCACGTGTCTGTGAATGTGTTTTTACCCATGCCACCCACACTCTCCTCTTGGTTCGTGTGTCCCCTGAGTGATACCTCCTTACCAAAGGCAGAGGTGTAAGCTTGAAAACCGCTAAGTGCTGGCAGAGACACTCCAAGGTCTCTTCTTAAAATAAAACTTATCTATATTAAAAGAAAAACATTCAAAGATTTACCAACGCAGTGCACTCCTATTTCCGAAATGCTGATAGTGAAAACATAGACAATAAACATGCAAGCAAAGTCCCCCCCCCCCAAGCATGCAGAAAAACAAAAGGCCTTCCGGGCTGACTCCCACTGTCCCAGGAGAGTAAAACCTCTCCTGACCCTCCAAGAGCCAGCGAAGGTCTGTTGGATCTGACCAGTATTTATACCAAATGATCAAAGAGGTCCCTCAATAATCAAATTACAGTTGTAAATTAACATTTTGGAGTTTTACAGGAAATTGCTTCCTTGCATCTCACACAACAAAAATTACATTTTACAAGATCAATACAGTGTCATTGTTTTTGTTCTGGTGTTTCCCAAACATGGGAAATAAACTGTACTTTGATGTTATCTCTGAGATGGGGTGTGTGAACTCCTGTATCTCAGGAAGTTAGTTTGTCTTTGGATTGAAGTCTGTCACTCCTCAAAATGGCCTTCATGGCCAGCTGCAGTTTATTTCCTAGGAAATTGTGAGTCTCACACCGGTGGAAATTTACATTGATTCAGATCCTGGGAATGGAATGTTGTGAACTTTTGCATGTGTGACTGAGAAAAGATTTGTCTGGAACAAAGGGTTTGTCAAGAATCATGGGTTTTGGTTCAGTGAAACAGGCCAAGGCTGTTTGCTGTTTTGCTAGCAAAAACAGAGACAGATCCATAGATTTTATAAACTATTTGGTTCATTTTTAAACCCAAACCTATATTTCTAAAATTTTCTTACCACAAGCTCATTAGATGTTCTTCTCAGGGGAAGGCCTTGGCCTCTATGCCCTGTTGATGGCCCTCCAGAGGAACTAGTTGGCCCCTGTGTGAGACAGGATGCTGGACTAGGGTTCTTCATATGTTATTATGTTATTATAGATAGATAGACTCCTATGTACAACTGGCCGTGAAACTCATTATCCAGTTCCAAAATGGCATGCAAATGCATTTCGACTGTACGGTGAACAGACTACCTTGGAACTAGGCATAACTTTCACATGGTCAGTCAAGGATGTTGGGCTGGTAAGAACTTCCTGAAAGTAGATATAACCTTATCTTTCTTTTAAGTTTTTCTCCCCAGGTTTATTGCCCCCCCGCCTCACTTTTCGCCCACTGATCAGGTAAACATTGGCACGCAAGGGCCACCGTTACCGGGAGGTCTCCTGCCATAAGCAGGTAAATCGGAGCCCTCCCTAGGCCTTTTCTATGAAATATGTGCAAACATGCTCAGTATGAGGAAACATAAAATAGCGCAAAACGAAAGAATGTTTCCACAAAGGAGCATATGCAGGTGCCTTTTCCTGGATCAGATCATTGGTTCATCAAGGTCAGTATTGTCTCCTTAACAGGACTCCAGGACCTGAGGCGGAGGTCTTCCACATGACCTACTGCCTGGTCCTTTCAACTGGAGGTGCCGGGGATTTAACCTGGGACCTGCTGCACGTCAAGCAAATGCTCTGCCACTGAGCCACGGCCCCTCCCAGAAGGGAAATCAGAATGGAGATTTTCAGAATGAAACATCAGGAATGAGAAATTCAATAGCATTCCTCACTGAACTATGACGTCAGTTCCAAACCAAACTCCACGCATTAAAGGTATTCTCTTTGGTACACAATGTTTAGCAGACATTTTCTTTATTTGCCATCAGGTCACAGTTAACGTATGGCACCCCCGGGTGGTGTTTGTAAGGAAAGAGACATTCAGAGGTGGTTTGCCTCCATGTCATGAGTCTGGAACTCCTTGGTGGTGTCCAGTGTTCCCTCTAAGCTGAGTGAGTGTGAGCTAGCTCACAATTCTTTAGCTACCAGCTCACAGATTTTTGTCTGATGTCAGGAAGGAGGGCTCCAGAGCAAACTAATTCATGCAGTAGCCAAATCGCTCGCTCACAACTTGAATGCCAGTAGCTCCCAAAGAAGAATTTTGCTCACAAGACTCCACAGTTTAGAGGGAACACTGGCGTCCCATACAAATAAGAACATAAGAGAACATAAGAGAAGCCAATGTTGGATCAGGCCCATGGCTCATCCAGTCCAACACTCTGTCACACAGTGGCCAAAAATACCAGGTACCATCAGGAGGTCCACCAGCAGGGCCAGGACATGAAGACCGGAGGTGATCCTCCTTGGCTTCCACGATCCAATGAGATCAGGCTAGCCTGGGCTACCTAGATCAGGCCTCGATCACTGGAACTTAAGTTAGGAACAGCAAAGTCCTGACCTGGATCTTGTGAGATGGCAATTCCCACCACCAACTAAGTCCTATTGCTCTGATATAAAGAGTAGCCATTTGTTGATGGTCTTCACCAAGACGTGCATAATCAAAAGGAAGTATAACAAAGAGTGCACTTACCCAGAAGAAGATACCAGCACAGATGGATGGAGAAGAATGAATTAGTGGACAAGGAGAGGAAAGGGCTTTTATAGGTCCATCCAGGAAGCAGAGGTGAGTCTTTCAATCCATCCAGGAAGCAGAGGTGAGTCTACAGTGAGCCAAGAATGACACACGTGGAATCCACCCTACTATCACTGATATCCCTTTCTGAATGGCATAGGGCATATATTTTTTTGGAGGAAACCACCCTTTTCCGGAATGATATGTCCCATTTAGTCAGAGAGCAAATCCGGCGTGCCAAAAGTCATAGGAAATGGAGGGGGGGTGATGGATGGAAGTTAATGATGTAGTAATGCCAGGAGACTGCCAAACTTTGAGTTGAACACGGGGATCTTTCATCTCACCGGTCACGTTACAGTGGACGGGGATCTTGCCTGTCCTGGTCTAACAAATACGGAAAATTTGAAAGACAGGGTGACATGATTAACATTCCCTGTCATAGGAAATAGAGGGGGGGGGGTCCAGTGATGGATGGAAGTTAATGATAGAGTAGTAATGCCAGGAGACTGCAAAACTTTGAGTTGAACACGAGGATCTTTCATCTCACCGGTCACGTTACAGTGGACGGGGATCTTGCCTGTCTTGGTCCAAGCAGAGGTCATTTCGGGGGGGATCGCAGGGGATCGCAGTTCCCTCGGGTGAGGTGTGGGGGGCGGGGCACACGATGAAGACCCGTCCCCTGCTTCCGGCCACCCCGCTTCCAGCCCTCATTCAGCCAGGAGGAGGCAGGAGAAGAGGGAGGCAGGAGAAGAGGGAGCCTCTCCCCACCCCTGCCTGCCTGGGGCCAGGGAGGGCCTTGGCGGGGCTTCCTCGCACTCCCTCCGGCCTTGCAGGTCCACCGCTGGGTGTGGCATATGCTAATGAGTTATGCTAATGAGTTCCCCTAGCTCTTTTTCTACGAAACGACCGCTGGGTCCAACAAATATGAAGACTCTGAAGGAAAGGGGGACATGATTAACATGCATCTGGATCAATGAGGTCTATCCTTGCTGAAGTGTTATGGTTGCTAGCAGGGGTCATTTCGTGGAAAAAGAGGCGCATGAGCTCATTAGCATAACTCATTAGCATACCTTTTTTGCATATGCCACTCCACCTGACATCACCAGAACTGTGTCAGAAGGCAACACCCACCACTGAGGTGCTACTGGACTGTTTTGGATTGCTAGTTATTGGGGGGGGGATGTGCAAATCTGTCCTCACAGAGGAGGGAGAGCTTGTACCTGAATAAAACTTGGTCTTAAAGGTGCCACTGGACTGTTTTGGATTGCTAGCTATTGGGGGTGGGAATGTGCAGATCTGCCCTCACAGAGAAGGGAGAGCTTGTACCGGAAGGTGGGCCGGGGGGAGGGCTCTGCAACTTACCTAGCTGCTTCTTGCTCCTTGTGGCCCAACTGAGGGCTGCTGGGAGCAGGGGACAGGGCTTGTTGCAGATTCCTTCCCCCTGGACTCCTTACTTACGGAGCTCTGCTCCTGTGCGCTCCCGCAGGAAATTACCCCTGGTTGCTAGTTTCCAGGTGAGGCCTGGAGATCTCCTTGATCTCTGGGAGGTGGTGGCAGCTACAAGCATGTATGGCTTGAAGAAGGAATTAGATAAGCACAAGAAAGAAGACCCATGAAACTCACGGGGGGGGGCGTGGGAGCTCCAAACTGAGCTGGCGGAGGAGGAACCAGCAGGAGCAGGTAACCTCTCACGCCCCCCATCCTGCCGGTTCCTCCGTGTCCTCCACCCCCCGCTCGATCTCCCCCGCCTCCCCCCTCAAAACCGAGGCCCGAGCAGCTTATAGCCGCTGGCCCTCACTGCTTCCCCCTCAGCGAGGGCCAGCGGCTTGCAGCCGCCCGGGACTCGCGGCCGCCCGCACCCGCCCTCGCCCCGGACGGCTGGCTGGCTCCAAGACGGCGTCGGCGAGCCCGGCTGCTCCCCCCTCCCAAGTGAGGCCGGCTGCTCCCCCACCCCAGCCGGCTGGCTTCGAGGCGGCGACGGTGGTGGCGAGGCCGGCTGCTTCCCCCCTCCCAAGCGAGGCTGGTGGTGAGGCCGGCTGCTCCCCCCGCCCTCGCCTCAGCTGGCTGGCTTTGAGGTGGATCCAACTCATTTTACCATTGTTTGTTCTGAGTAATCCTTGATTGGTAGGATAGCCATCCCAGGGAGAATGGGTCCTAGTATGGAACAAAAACAAAGAAAAAAACAAAAGGGATGGGCAGATTGGGCAATGAACAACCAGTAAAAAAAAAAAGGTGAGCATGGTTTACTGGAAAAAATTATTAACTACCCTCCCTCAAAGCTGTGCTCTACAAAATCGAAAACACTTCATATAGCCCTAAATTTAAATGAAGCATGATCCATGTAAAAAGAGTGTTGGACTCGAAGGGCCACTGGCCTGATCCAACGTTAGCTTCTCTGATGTTCTCTTATGTTCTTACAACAGATCTCCAGACTATACAGATCAGTTCCCCTGGAGAAAAAGTCTTCTTTGGGGAGTCTCTTCCCTCTCCAAACCCTTCCCTTCCCCGACTGCACCCCGAAAGCTCCAGGAATCCCCCAAACCAAAGTTGGCAATACGATGAAGCCTTTATGCTATGTATGCCAGGACTAGTGATCTAAATACAGCCTAGAAGGTTAACATCTCAGACACCCAGAGGCTTTCCAGCACATTAATCTGCACCTTGAAGACTAACACATTTTTATTCAAGGTATAAGCTTTCGTGTGCGTGCACAGAGCCAGTTTGGTGCGCTGGTTAAGAGCACGGACTCTAATCTGGGAGAACCGGGTTTGATTCCCCACGCCTCCACATGCAGCTGCTGGTTTGACCTTGGGTGCATCACAAGTACTCCCAGAGCTGTTCTGTCAAGAGCAGTTCTCTCAGCGCTCTCTCAGCCCCACCTACCTCACAGGGTGCCTGTTGTGGAGAGGGGAATGAAAAGGAGATTGTAAACTTCTCTGAGACTCCGAGCAAAGGGCGGGTTATAAATCTGACTCTTCTTCTTCTTCTTCTTCTTCTTCTTCTTCTTCTTCTTCTTCTTCTTCTTCTTCTTCTTCTTCTTCTTCTTCTTCTTCTTCTTCTTCTTCTTCTTCTTACTCATTCTGTACCCATTTCCATGGACAGAGGAACAGGGGCAACTGATGCCATATACCGACCCTCCATTACAGTTTGTTCTGCAGTCAATGACACATCTGGTAGAATGTTTTCAGCCCTGGTCCAGTGACGTCTACTGTTGCTATCTGCAACCAGAGAATGAAGACTTTGGTGTTTTTGTTGGGCATCCCCCCCACCCACCGGTGATTCCCTCCTTCCCACCCGATGTGTTAATTGCCATATTTTTATGTCTTTGTGTGTATTGCAGCTATCGTTTTATTTGTTTGAATTATATTTTGGTTGATTCCAAGGGTTTTAAAAAGGTAAAGGTTCCTTTGCTCGAAAGCCGGTCGAATCCGACTCTAGGATTGCGGTGCTCATCTCCGTTTAAAGCTGAAGAGCCAGTGCTGTCCGAAGACATTTCCGTGGTCATGTGGCCGGCATGACTAAACGCCAAGGCGCACGGAACGCTGCTACCTTCCCACCGAAGTGGTACCTATTTATCTACTTGCAATTTCTTGCTTTCGAACTGCTCGGTTGGCAGGAGCTGGAACTAGAGACGGGAGCTCACTCCGTCATGCGGCAACTCGGGTCTCGAACTGCTGAACTACTGACCTTCCACAGCCTGCAGTTCAGCGTCTTAACCACCTGAGCTGTTTCAATTGTAAAATGAAAGTTAATAAATACAGGCCCCGTTCACACAGAAGATTTGCTGCGGGAGAGCGACGAGTGCATGGCGGATTATCCGGGCGCAATCACACCGCAACGTCTGGGAAGTGGAGCGTACCCGTGGCCAACCCGTGGCGTACCACCGAAAATGTGTGATTAAAAACTACTAGATCGAAGGTACTGGCAACCGGTTTGCCACGGGCTGCCTCCAGAGTCCCTCAGTGTGATTGCGCTGGCCGCGCCTTTGCCTCCTGGCCCTTCGCTGATGTCCAGGCGTGGAGGTAGGGAACCGTGGCGTGCTGACGACACGTGGGATCAGGTTATGGCGGCTCTAATTGCGGTGGCACAAAAAGCCTCGCCTGCCCCCTGCGTTATCCGGCCCGTGTGACCGGGGCCACAATAAAGCAGTACCATCGGACCTAAATATTCAACTGTTATCCGTCCCCTGCCCTAGGGTTGCCGGGTCCCCACCGGCAGGAATGGGGGGGGAGGATTGCCAGCTCCAGGTTGGGAAACTCCTGGAGAATTGGGGATGGAGCCTGGGGAGAACAGGGACCGCAGTGGGGTACAATGCCATAGAGTCCGCCCTCCAGAGCGTCCCTTTTCTCCAGCAGAACCAATCTCTGTAGTCTAGAGATGAGCTGTGATCCCCAGGTCCCACCTGGAGGTTAACATTCCCACCCTGTCCCCTCCAAAGAGGTCTGAGGCCAAGGTAGCTGAAGGACCCTCTACTCTTATATGGATCCTAACAGGGTTGCCAGGTCTCTTACCTCTTTACTGTGGGGGAGAAGGTCCGTAGAGTTTTCAGCCTCAATGCTAGGGCATCCACCTGGCAATGAGGTCACCTCATTGCACAGGGCATGTCGGCCCAATCCAGGCACTGTGGGGGTGCGGTTCCCCCTGCCAGCCAAATCCGGGCCAGTGGGTCGGTGGGCAAAAGAGCAGGCAACCCCTCCCAAGGGATCTGGCTGCCCTATGCTCTAAGGTGCGAGCCCCGCACACAAACGACAACCCCTGGCCCTCCCACGAAACAGCAGTACAAAGGAACACAAGAAGCTGCCTTCTACTGAATCAGATAACTGGTCCATCAAGGTCAGAATTGTCTACTCAGACTGGCAGCAGCTCTTCGGGTCTCAGGCAGAGGTCTCTCTCATCACCTACTGCCTGGTGCTTTTTCACTGGACATGCTAGGGATTGAACCCGGGACCTTCTGCCTGCCAAGTAGATGCTCTGCCACTGAGCCATGGCCCCTCCCCATCCTTGGTCCATCAGGATTGTCTAGTCAGACTAGCAGCATCACTCCAGGGTCTCAGGCAGAGGCCTTTCCCATCACCTCCTTCCTGGTCTTTTTAACTGGAGGTTCCGGGGATTGAACCTGGAACCTCCTGCATGCCAAGTAGATGCTCTGCCATTGAACCATGGTCCCTCCCCATTCTTGGCCCATCAGGGTTGTCTACTCAGACTGGCAGCATCTCTCCAGGGACTCAGGCAGAGGCCTTTCCCATCACCTCCTTCCTGGTCTTTTTAACTGGAGGTTCCGGGGATTGAACCTGGAACCTCCTGCATGCCAAGTAGATGCTCTGCCATTGAACCATGGTCCCTCCCCATTCTTGGCCCATCAGGACCCCATCCTTGGTCCATCAGTGTTGTCTACTCAGACTGGCAGCATCTCTCCAGGGACTCAGGCAGAGGCCTTTCCCATCACCTGCTTCCTGGTCCTTTTAACTGGAGGTGCCGGGGATTGAACCTGGGACCTTCTGCATGCCAAGCAGAGGCTCTGCCACTGAGCCACAGCCCCTCTTTACAGCTCTCCAAGGTCTCAGGCAGAGGTCTTTCCCATCACCTCCTGCCTGGTCCTTTT